CCAAAAGCACTTTCTTATCATGAAAAAGCCCTTGCAATTCGACAACAATCACTTCCTTCCAATCATCCTGATTTGGGTGCTTCCTATAACAACATCGGTGTGGTGTATGAGTATATGGGTGACTATTCAAAAGCTCATTTATTTTATGAACGTGCTGTACAAAATGGACAGCAATCATTACCAACAAATCATCCTCATCTTCAACAATGGAGAAAAAACCTGGAAGACATGAAAAAGAAATTATAAATTCCTTCTATATTTTTTTTGAAAGTAAAATAAAACTGACGAAAAAGAAAATGTGTCTATTGAAATCCTGTTCTTGTTGAGAACACAATATGAGTAGTAACACTCACCGGTAAGGTAAACAATACATATTGAAAAGATGTGTATAGTAGAAAACACCTTCACGGTTACATTATTATGCCTGAACAAGTAGAGTTTTGTTGTGTTAGATAAGAGAGAAAGATACTCAATAGAAACATAGAAGGAAAGAAAAATCTTATTTTATCAATAGAAGGATAGGTGTGTTACGAAATGATAAATTCGCACTCACCCCAATATCGCTTCTGTTTTCTGTAAAGCTTTATGTATATTTGCACCTTATTAAAAAGAACTCACCGATTTCGTAACAGATCTCCATTTGGATTCATACATAAAATAATATGTAAATTCGTTGTACATTTCTGAATAAAATAATTCCAAATATTTTCATTTAATGAACCAATTCGAAACATTTTCATTGCTTCTTCACGTATTTCGTTAATAATTTCATCTCGTTCCTAATACATATTATTTTAGAATATCAATTCCTCAAGAATTTTCTTTACCTCTTCATTATATAATGTAGTTATCATTCCATTCGATAAAATATTATTAATATATTCAAGAAAATTCTCATCAATGATCTGTGCATCATTTAAAATAAAAACTGTTTTCTTACTTTTCAATCCAACTTGATTAAATAAAATTTTTAAATCATCTCGAAACGATATTTCATTATAACTTCTCGTTAATTGTATTTCAAATATTTCATATTTAGCAGTAAAAGCAGCAATTTTTGAAAGTAGTTTTTTCCCGGAACCACCAACACCAATTAATAATAAATGTCCACGATCTAAACGAAGTACACGATATATACGTGTTATATGTTCAAGTGCATCATTAAATAAAACTATATTCTTATAACCATATTGTTCTTGAAATTCAACAATAATTTCATCAAATATTGATTTTATTGCTTGATAATCTTGTAAATCTTCATAAATTTTTGGTTCATCATCTTGTAAAGCTGTACGATAATCAGCAAATAAAATTGGTTTACGTAATAAATAAATTTTTTCATCTTTAATTAAAGAATTTTCTTCAAGAATTTTATTAAATAATTCAAGATCTTTTACATTATTAAACCGATCAGAAAATATTCGAATACATTCATGTACCCAACCACGTAGAAATCTTTCTTTCGTATCAAATCGTTCAGGTATAGTTTGTAAAAGACTTTGAATGATTCGACTAAGATCACGCAAAGAAAATATATAATAACATTTCGTTGGTGTTGGAACAAATGAGCGAAGTATATTTTCATAGATTTGTAAAGTAGAATGAATTATATTTGGAATGATTCCTTGTATTTCCGGAGAAAATGTTCTTACATGACTTTGTAAAATTGTTGAAAATATACGAAATAATGATTCATATGATGGCGATGGAATATAAAAAACACTAAAATGACTAATAAAACGAGGATCAATACTATTATTACTTCCACCTAGAAAAATAATCGATTCATTTGTTTCGATAAAAACAAAAAAACGAATTACCAGGAGTACCCATAGCAGCAATCCAATCAATATCTGTAATAAATTTCCAATTCAGTTCACCATTTCGTTCATACATGCCATGTTTTTCAATGAGTAATTTAAGTAAAGCAATTGCTTGTTGTGTACCATATTGATCGATTTTTGGCATGGATATATCATCGAGAAATATAATTAATTTCTTTCCAGCTGATGGACCATAAGTATTTTTCGAATATTTTTCTAATTGACTTTCAATAGAACGTTGTACATCGATTGATTTTGTTCGTGAAGAAAAATTTAGATTTAAATTAATATAACGTGAATCAAAATGTCGAATATAGGATTGAATTGTTGCTGTTTTACTTGATCCAGTATCACCAACAAATAGAACAGGTTGATGAATTGATATCATCGATTTCATTAACCATTCTATATGGAATAATATGTCAAAGGAAGAAAAAATGTTCATCATACCTAAACGAATTGTATCAGCCGTTGAAACAAATAATTCATAGAATCGTTTTGATCGATCATGTTCATATTTCGGTATAAGATCATCCCATTTTATCCATTGATCAAGTTCAGGTTGAAATACATGATCACATAATAAAGGTTTTTCATTAGGTAATTGTCCAGATTTAGCTTTTGAACCACTCGATATAGTTGAAAGACCTGATAAATATTTAACAAAATTATCTAATATTATACGATCTTCTTGTTTTAAACAAGCACCAAATGACCAAATTATTGTTTGAAGAAAACAAGCATGAATAAGATCTGAAGTTAGTTGAAATTGATTTTTTTTCTCATTTTTAATCAATGGTAAAAATAAAGAATCAAGTAATTTTGTAAATTGGTTGATAATATTGACTTTAGTTCTAAAAATACAAAATATATCATTTATTTTTATTCTCTATCTTAAACTTACAATGGTATAATCATTTTCATTCTTGGTCTACGTTCAGTTTCTGTTAAACCTTGATAAATCAAATTCATTATATTATTTATATATCGATCATAAAGTAAATCTAATTGATTTCTTTCATATAATCGATCAATTAAATTCATATTTAACCAACGTTTCCATACTGGGTAAGGACCGACATTTTCTTGATCAATATAAACCATTCCACAACGAGATACTGTTGCTGGTGATGCATATTTTAAATCACCAACTTCAAATAATAGAGAACAATAATCTTGTAAACGAATACGTTCTCCATTAGCTAATGTTAATAATTTATTATCATCCATAACTGAATTCTTCAAAAAAAAAATGAATTAAAATATTATTCTTTTTTTATTTATACAAAATAATACCATATTTTCAATCCATAGTGCATCAACATCACCATCAAATACAATATAACGTCTTTCATTACGTATTGTTGGTCGATTAATCATTCGATATAACATTGAGACTATCCCATCAGTCCATTCAGCTATGAAAAATAAAAAATATAAACATAACAGCTGTCCTAGCAATAAGCTTGAGGATGTAGATCAAGGAAAGATAAGTCGGTGCTAGAGATATGCGGAACCAGGACCTACATTTGAATCTAGGACTATGTAATGATCTTAACTATGATGACCATATTTAAGAAAAATGAACCAAAAAGTGCTAATCGTAGACTAAACAAATTGAAAAACGAGTATTGAAGAATTGTTTTGAAAATTCAATGAATAATTTTGAATTAATTGTCTCTAGGACGATATTAGAGATGAGCGGGACCAGTTTTGGTCGCAGTACCGGTCCCGGTGACCATAATCGGGACCTAAAAAGATTGGTCTTGCACATCTCTAGAGTCGGTACCCTTAAGATGGTTTTATTATATAAAATTAAAATTGCATATTTACATGTCAATGGATCAAGTATACCATATAATTCAATAACACTTATTGCTTTTGGATTGACTGTATAAAGAGTTGTTTTCATTCCCATTTGAGTTTGTGCTTCAGCTAGAGTATTTAATACTACTGTTTTTCCACCACTTGAATTAAAGAAGAAAAAAATTCAGATCAGTTTCTTTCGTCCTTTACCTTGTGGGTCCAACTAACATTGTTGAATGACGTGTCATCATTGTCTCATATAGCTGAATAATTTTTTCAATTTGTTCTGGAATTAGAATATACTGTTGTTTAATTAATACTTCTTCAATTATTCGATTTAAATCTTCATAGTGTATTTTTGGACAATAGATATTAGGAAATAAATCATTTAATAATGTATGAAATAAATTAACATCATCAGAAATAAATTTTGGTATATTCATATCACGTAAAGCTCTTAAAAGAACGATTTCTTCTGAACTATCTTTCATTGTTGTTCGTTTTAAATAACCTGTCATCGATAAAACAGCTTTAAAACTTCTTAAACCCCAATCATAATGATACTAAAATATGATATAAAAGAAGACAAAAATTTTCTTATTTAAATTCAAATACTTGTTTACTAAGTAATTCCGATGCATAACGATATAATGTAACCATTTTTTTAGCTAAAATTCTTGCATTTATAAAACCATTTGCAAATAATTTGATTTCTCCAATATATTGTAGATCTGGAATACTGAACAATCAAATATTATATATGTACTAAAAAAAACTAAAAAACTTACACAACAACAACAGGTCGAAATAAATTTTTCACTGATTCAGGTAATTCTGTACGACCAGCATAACCAGGATTCATTGTTATAAATATTCCAACTGTTGAAAGAAGTCGAATTTCATTATGTTCAAAAAGAAATTCCGTCAGATGTAATGATAATGCTTGTTGAATACTTTTTACTTGAGTAGACACAACACTAAGTACAGATGCTTCAATACGATTGAATCTTTTTATTAAAAGAATTATCAATTAAAATAATTTTTTTTCGAATATTTTACTCATCAAAACAACCCCATGCACCTGTTTGACATAAACCATTTAAATTTTTACCAATTGCTTGATAATCCATTCCTAGTGGGAAAAAAAGATCATTCGGGTGGGTGTACGATCATCTTAAATAGAATCAAATCAATATCTTACCTTCACCACAATTAGTCACAACACAAAGAAGACCCATAGCTTTAGCAAGATCTTTGATGGATTCTGTTTTACCAGTACCAGCTGGTCCAGCTAGATAAAAATAATGAATATACTTTTTTTGCAGAGTATATCAAATAAACCTGGTGCACAACCAAGAAACATTGATAAAGCCTAAGATTGAATGTATACTATTTGTTAAAACAAAACATCTATTTACTTGTGTAACTGTCAAATAAATTCGATCAGTTAATGGTGTAATTACAAGACGACCATTAAGACCCATATATTCATATCCTATTCAAAGAAGAAATGATTCATTATTTTTAACTATATATGAAATTTTTACCATATTCAAATTTTCCATTGCATTGTTGTAAAAATAAATTATCTTCTTTTGACAACCAATAAAAACGTAATTGACATTGCCATGCACTATATTAACCAATTACTTATATAATAAGATCAATTTTGTAACTCACAAATCATGAGATTCATTTATTCCATCACGGATTAATATATCAACCATATCACGAATATGTACATCAATAGTAAGAACTGTTTCATATTTATTATACTCATCTAAAATAGAATTTTCATTGAATGAGTATAAATTACAAAATTTAAGTACTTAATGTTAAAGATTTTCGCATTTCAAAAACAATTTCTTCTGTTTGAGAATTTAATTGTTTAACATATGTTTTCATTGCCGAAGATTGATTTAGTGTTAGCATTTTATTAAATTGACTAAAAATAATAGATTACATAATAATTATTAAGACAAAAGGTTGTAAGTTGTAAAAATGAAGGAATATGATGGTTCATTTTTTTATATATTTGGCACTAAAGACTCTCTGAACCATTCTATTTTCTAACACTGTACTTTTCTGATTTTTGACTTCATATATTGTTCAAATCGAGAATTCGATTATATTATTCTATCTATTGAGATTTAAACTATAAACAAATAAATCGTACGAACATAGGTGGGGTTTAGGCTAATTAACAGTGTTTTATCTAGGTTTCGTTTTTCGGATGGACGAATCGAAACTTAGGGTGGGTGGAGTTCATCCAGCGCCCACTCGGACCATTTCAAAATATACCACTACTATATTTTTTCGGGTGGGCGGCGCCTACCTAGCCCATCCTCTGGATAAAATACTGTTTATTAAGAAACTTTACATTTTACTTCAATTTTATTTTATTTTATAACATACTCTTCAATTTCCCATGTACTCCAAAGTTGATTAACAACTAAAACAACCATACCAATATATTTTCTCATCCATTCTAATCTATTCTGTTTAAAACGATAATAAAAAATCGCTTCTTTTGTTAACCAACGATTTGAATATTTCATTTCTTTTTCGATATTATTCATCCATATTTCAACTTTTCCATTACATTCTATTGGATTTATAAAAGTCATTTCTTCTTTTTCTAATGATATCATTCCTATTGCATAAATTAAATTTTGTTGATATTCTTCTTCGATATCCACTGTTTTATCGTATTGAATAAAATTTAATGCACCAATATTATCAAACATTTTTTGTAAATATTCTTGAATATCATTTGGATTTGATTGTCCAATAATTGAAAGAAGTTCATCATCAGATAGAAAATAAAATCTCGAAAATAATTGACGTTTTGTATCTAAATAATCATTTAAATTTTTTTGAATTTTTTCAATTAAATTTAATATTGATTTTAATTCATCATATCGACCAGGATGTGTACAAGCATCTTTTACCAATGAATTTCGAGATGTATCTAAGAATAAATACATAAATTAGGATTAAAAATGTCTGAGCTCTTTTTAGCCATCGGAATGAGTGGCTGCCTTGATTTGTACTCAATGACCATGGTCTGTAATGGAGGAGGGGAGTCGGAAAACTTATTTAGTTATTTACCAAGCATAATTTTTCGATATAATTTATCAACTGTATCAAATCGTTTTGCTTCATCACCAAATTGTAGACTAGAACCGAGGAATATATTTTCAAGATATATCCATTTTTGTTGAACAATTATCCATAGTTTAATAACATCGGATATTAACGATAGAATTCGAATCCATTGTTCAACTTGTGAAAGATAAATACCGACAAAACGTGATGTTGTTATACCTTTAATAAATAAAATAATTCAATAATTCAAGGAAAAAGAAAGTAGAACTATTAAGAAGTAATGTTGAATCTTCGAGTGCTTGAAGAATATCATCAACACCAGATATGATGAAACTACTACGATCTTGTTGTGTAGTTGTATTACGAATATGTTTATGTATTTGAAAATGCATTGTATTCCATTGTTGTTGAATATCTTTAAGATTCTTTTCGATTTGTAATTCTTTAATAGCAGTTTGTAATATATCTGTAAGAAATTTTGAAGAATTTTCTTCTATTTCTTTAAAAAAAATTTATTTTACTTTGAAGAATATCATTATATTGATATAAATTCATTTGAAAGATATTTTCTAATGTAAGAACATTACTTGTTAGATCAATATCAATATTAGTTTCTTGAATAACTTGTTTCCAGTGACGTTCACGTAATGCTTCATTTTTTAAATCAACCATAATTGGAAGAGATGAACGAAAGTCTAATTTGAAAATAAATCGTACTTTAGATCAATGATTGGTAGGTCTGTATTGACTTTAGTTTCCTTTTTTAAATACTATTGAGATTAACTATACACAAGATTAAAGATCGTAGCTGACGGTGTAGGTGTGAGTGGGTGTGGGTTGCGGTATAGGGTGAATGTACATACTAGTTTGAATGTGAATATCGAGATGAAGCTACGCCCACCCTCACACCCACATCCACACCTATACTCATACTCATATAGTTCAATATTCTATTGACTAGCCCAAATTTCGCCAACGGAACATTCTTCAATGGGGAAATTCAGAAGCCCCGTTCTATTGACTTCCAATGAATCATTTGTTAAAGAATAGCTCAGATAACAGCATATCGGAAGTATTAATTACCTGTTAAATATTTTTCTACTGCACGACCGACACTTGTTATTTTAATATCTGATGATAATCGTCGAAAATTTTTAATAAATAAATCCACATTAGTCATTAAATCATTTATATCAAGTTCTGTCCAAAGAATATTTGACCAAATTTTTTCATTACGTTTAAACTCATCATAGAAATCTGATAAAATATTTAAATTATTCATTTCTTTTTGAAGATATATTAAATTTGGATAATTAATTAAAGGTATATGAAAAAGTTTCATAACATTAATTAATTCAATTTTTCGTTGTTCAATTTTTTGAAGTTCTTTTTGATATTGTTTAACAAGTAAAAATATTTGATTAAGATCATTTTCAATCGTATATGGACCATATTGATTAAATCTATTCATAAGTTCATCAATTATGTGTTGAAAAAATTCTATATCATATTGAATTATTTCACGAAAATGTTCACATATAGATTTTAAACGATATTGTACAATATGTGATTGATGAATAAGATCAATTAAACGAGGATTTAACGTTTGAATAAGTACCCATTCAGATTGAGGATATTCATAACGATGTTGTCGTAAAATTCGATATGATTGTTCAATATCATAGATCGTATGTTCAATAGATTCTTGTTGTTGATTTATTTCATCAATTATATTTAGAACAAATTTTAAATCAGGAACAGTATCTGCATCATGATGAAGTCCTTCAGATAAATTCGTTAAAATTTCATTGATTTCTCGAAGTTTTTTCGACATTTTTGTATATAAATGTTGTCCATAATGATATATCCAATCTTTACAATGATATTTTAATGCTTGATGAAATTGTTTAAAGGATAATTGTATTGAATAGATATTTTTATTAACAATAAATTGATCAAAACTTTGATCAAATTTTGAGAATATAGTCATTATTTCATCATAATCAGAATATGTATGAGATTTTAAAGCAAATTGATTCGTATATTTTTGCTTATCATTTTTCCATAAATCATTATAAGTTAATAATTTCGTTAGAGTTCGATTAATAGCAGTAACTAATCCAGATGCATAGCCTCGAACAGGTTTCAATGTTGAAATCTTGAAAAGAAATATATTTTTTGTTTAAACATATTATCAACTTACAATATCAGGATGTTGTTTAACATCATTATCAAAAGTAAAATCTGGTAATTCAATTTCTTCATCAAGTAATGGTGGTGATGGACATGAGATACACGATCCATGTAACCAACGATTGAAATGCTTTGGTAATTCACTGATTCCATAAGCACTACGTCGAATAGAATTAACAATTTCTTCCAGTGATGGCTGAAGTTTAATACGTGGTGGAACAAGTATTACATCAACAATAAAATGTGATGAACTACCGAAAATATTCTCATAGAATTGACATAGATTACGAATAACTAATTCAACTAGAGAAGTAAATATTTCATGTTCCCAATATGTATAAAATGAATGCACTGTAATAGATAAAATTTTATATAGATAAAAAAATAAATATTCTACTTACTATTTTTATGTTTACCAGTATTGGTACCAAATACTAATGATTCAATTTTGGTTAATAATGGACCAAAAAGTTCATAACGTCGTTTTAAACTTGATATAATTTCTTTACGTTTAATATCAAGATATTCAAAATATTCTCGGCAAGTAAATAAATTTCCTAAATATTTTATACTTTTCAAACTATAAGGTCAAGCACAAAGAAACAATGTAAAGGATATCACAAGGGGGAAACAACAGAGACTTCATACATAAAGTCTCATGAAGTCTTGAAAGTTTTTTGAAGTCTTTGAAATCTCTTGACGTCTTTGAAGTCATATGGAGTCTTTTGAAATCTGTGAAGTCCATTGAAGTCTCTTGTAGTCTTTTGAAGTCTATAGAAGTCATCTGAAATCTTTTGAAGTCTGTCGAAGTCTACTGAAGTCCGCTGTTTCCCCCTAGGAATATCATGACGAATGAAATTCATTATATGCAATAGAATGTGTTGAATCGGTCTTACCCGAATTTCTCCAACAGCGAAAGTCTTTTAGATGGGTGTGGATGAGGGTATCATATATAGATATCGTACCCACATCCACGCCCGCCCACACCCACACCCTCTCACATTATTCGAAGTGTATATAAATCATTGTATCTTACCACTATCATGTCGCGGTACAATTGGATCAATAACACAAAGACGAAAACTTTCAAGATGTTCATGAATATCGGATGAAATTTTTCGTATTTGATTAAGAATTGAATGTAATTGTTCTAATTGTTTTTTACATTCATGTACGTAATCAATTGTACCTATTTCACCGAATGATATTCTTGATGTTCCTGGTTTAATTGTTTGTTGTATTTGACCAAGATATGTTTGAAGAAGAGAAACTTCATTTGTATCAAGTGATGCAATAGTTAAATGATAATCTTCAAGCATTATATGAAGTTCATTTGATAGTTGTTCAAATTTTGAATATTGTAAAGTTGTTTGAATAATTGATTCAGGTAAATTAAATCCAAATTTTTTCAAATAAAATGTTTCAATTAAGGATTCTTTTAAATTTGAATTATAATTTATTAAATATTTTATTTCAATTTTTTTCTTTTTATCTATTGGATCAAATACATATTGAAATAAATAACATTTTTCTTTATATAATTTAAATTTATTTGCTATTGAACGTGTTGAATCATTTGATATTGACATATGATTTATATCTTTTTTAATGACATGAAGCGGTAGCTGATAAATAGAACTATTGGGAATAACTTGAATACTATTATTAAGAAATAGATCTGAACGTTGTTCAGCATCAATAAGTAAATTTTGTCTGAGATAGATCGGCAAAATTTTAGTAATATTATCAAGCCATTTAGTATATAATTCTTCTTCATATTCTTTAAGTATAGTACCAACTTCAATAAAACGATGCTTTGCAGATATGCCTTGTTCTGATTGAAGTAATTGATCGATAGTACGAAATTTAATCATAGGTAATTTTATACGTGTAAATAAGAAACGAGCCCATTGAATAGCACCAGAAATAGGTGGAAAACCCTAAATAATCAAAAACTTAGAATATCGCATACAATTTTGAATGGGTCTGGGTGAATGTAGATACAATTGAAGGAACATCTATCCTCAAAATATTTACTTTGCAGATTGGTGGATTATTTTTATATTTAATAAAAAGATCATAAATTCCATCAATTTCTTTACAATATTGTAAAAGAATAGCAGTAAATTGTCGAATTATTTCATGTGCTAAAACGTAAGTTGTATCAATTTTTTGAAATTTCATAAGCATATCAAGTGCAGTTTCAGCTGAACGAAGTTGAGTAAAAGATGTACGTATAAAAATTTTCGCTTCTTGTTCAATAATAGATGAATGATGTTTAAATTCATCAATAAATGAATGCCATTGTTGTATATTTTCTCGATTAAATATATCAAAATGACATGAAAGAAAAGATTTTTTTAAATCTTTTACATGTTCAAGTACACGATCAACTAATTGTTCTTCACCTGTAACAGCTTTCATTTTTGAATCAAATATATCATAAAATTCATTTAAATTTGATGACATTTGTATTAAATCATCACATATTTGTGACATATAATCTGTTTTATCAAAAAGTATACGATAATCAAAATTCCATGTTAAAAAACCACGTTTATCATTTTCAAGTTTTGTGCGTATATTTTGATATTCAAATTTCCATTGAAGTAATAATTGTTTAGCTTGATAACAAACATCTCGAACTTCATTTAATGTATATAATGTAAATAAAGTTTTTATATCTATAGTTTGTCGAACACGATTAATAATTTCATTAGCTATTTTTTCCATCAATGGCACAAATCGTTCATCTTTATTATAATATTTTGACATAGTCCTAAAAAAA